ATTAAATGAAAACCGGCCCATTAGAGTCGAAGTATTACACTTCCAGGTCAGATGAAATCGTTTTGATAATTTTTATATCTCAATTGTCATTGCAAGACCACCATATTGTACATTACTGGGAGTTAACTGGTAGAAACTATAAGAACACATATTTCAACAATGTTTTCTAGAACTTACTCAGAGTGAATTAACATTTTGCAAATATTAATTTTCTAAATGACTACATTTGTGAATATTTGAACACGATAAACGATTTTCACGAATAGCAAAGTGATTCATATTCATTCATTCATGAATATTGATTCATTCACTAATGTTATGTGTGAATTTGTTGAACTATGACGATGTTATCATCATAGTTTCGAAATATAACGAAACAATTCCCTACATATTTTTATTTTCTATAGCTCTATAAAAAGACAGTGGTAGCAGATGTATATCTTTTAAGGGTAGCTTGCTTGTAATTTATGATTGCGTTTGCATCATATAATTCAAATTATTATCTCAGGAGATATATTTCATCAGTTCGGACTTCTATTGTCTAATATAACATAAATTGAAAAAAATCGAAAAGATTAACCGAAAATAACAATTTTAATAAACAAAAAACTTTCAAATCAATTTATATTATATTAGACAATGGGAGTCCGAACAAACAATCTGAGGAGATATTGGAACTTTCGCGCGACAAAATAAGATTGAGAGGCCGGACAAAGCGGTGCGACGCACATGATGAAGAAAGGTTGCAATTGCGTTGGTTTTGTTTAAAGTGGTGGATTACTTTGAACATCACATTTCAGTTTTTATATTGTCTTCATAGAGATAGATACTTACCTGAATATACTTTTGTCAAGACGAATTTTATCGTTTGAAATCTTATAAAGTGAAGATAATCACCTACCATGGTATGACTCTGAAGTGGTAAACAGTGGCAAGTACAGAGGACATCGACTGAAAACTATTCATAAAAAGTATAGCATGAGAAGCAGAAAATTGCATCAATAGAGGTGTTTCGAAAGGGAGTGCACTGCGTCCACTATTGTTTATGTTATATTCAAATGATATTGATCATATCCGAAAGTGCGAGTTAATACATTATTTTGCAGATGATATATTGCTGTCAGCGAGTCATCATTATTTATCGAATGCCATTAAAAAATGTACAAAAGCCAACTGCAAAATATCAAAATTTCCCAACATCAATAAATTCAAACTGAACATCAATATGAATATTACTGAAGTTTCATCTCACCACCAAACCGTTTTTTAACACTTCGGCACGTGTTTCGATCACCAAGTGATCATCTTCAAGAGGAGTTTAATCTTCTTTTTGGTAGAATGGAATGTTATAAAATGATCTAGACTGTTCTGAAAATTTCTAGAGAGCGAAACCTTAAGCCCCTATATCTTCAAAAAAGCAAGTCTTTTAGGACTAGCTCCCTATATTATTCAACAGTGATCTGGGATGTTCAGGGGTGTTCTCGAATCTTCCAGACCCTTTTAATGGTCACTGGTTAATGAATATATCTTCAAAAATTGCTATGCCATACCTAGTGGTATAGAAAAGCAATTAACTGCGAATTAACATACAACTTGCAGATTGTAGTTCAGTGAACTGGGAATAAATTAAACATAATGTGGCTATTCACAAATGATTGTTGGGACGTCAACAGTGAATAATTAAATTTCATAACTGTTTTAGCTCAGTGATTGATGGGCAACAAAAATGCAAACCGTGAAAACCCACTGTATTCAGATATTTTTTTCCACCATCAAGAAAAAGTCACTAATTTCATAAAACTGTATGCACTCATTTGAATTTAAACTACTCTCAAATAGTTGATATCTCACGCAGGTTCAAGGATCTTGAAATATAGCTGGAAATATATCTGTGGCATTCGTTCATCTAGAAAAAAAAAGCAACAGAATTTTCTCAAACAGACGGGCAAAAGCTTTCGATATCGTTGCTCACACTTCTTTTAATCCACAATAAAAGATGAAGCGGGAAATGCGGTACATGATCTTTTTTATTATTATTCTGATTAGTAAAAGATAACAAACGAAAATTTCAGAGGCAACCCTCAGAAATCTTCACAAAACTCGAATAGAGGTTTTATCTTTCAACATACCATTTCTGTCACGAGAATAACTCAATATGTTTTGGTTGGTTTCCGGGTTTTGCCGTGATCTTCTTTGGTTACTATTCCCAAACGTTTCAACTGCAACTGCGGCAGTCATCTTCAGTGGCATGGTCGAAGTACTCTTCTTGACGTATCAACTGAAACTGAAGCTCTCATTCCTGCCATGTCATTTATACTGCTAATTTTGGTGACATGGTTTAATTTTGGCGCTTCTCAATGCTGTGTGCCAGATCTTTCGTAGATATATGTTCTCTCGTCCTTTCAGTTGAAGTTCTCTTGGTGTTTATATAGAAAGGAAGAGAGAACAGTTATGAAATTTAAATTATTTACTGTTGACGTACCAACAATCTGTTGAAAACGAAGCCATGTCACACAAATTGCGCGAGAAGTACGCGTCAGTCATCTCCTGATGCTGCTAACCAAGTTAGCAGTGGGAGAAGTGTTTTCAATAGAATCATTTCTAGCCAGAACACATGGTACAATTTCATGATAATATTTCATGATTTTTTGAAATCTAGTACCATTCTAAACGTATTACTTTTTTTGCGGAAATGCAATTTAAGAATATAAGAATATAGAATATGAAAACTTCATGATCACTTATAAATGAGGATAGCACTTGTGTTATTTATCAAGGTGAGGTAACGAAATGGTGATCAAATTTTAATTGTTATTATCACATGAAACTAATTACTATTCATTAGTAATTTCATTGAAGGACCGTTTTTTATTATTGACGGAGTGACGTTAAAAAATCCAAGGAGTGTAAAGGTTTATTCAGAATTCAATGGTTTCTATCAATATAGTAGAGTTTATTCGAAATCGCGTACCAAATCTTGGTGACCTGACATAAGTCATTGCTAGCTAGCAGAAAAAGGGGGAGATTAGAAGAATTGTGAAAAACAATTCACTTAATATCCAGATATATTGAATAAATAACTCTTTTAATTTTATTTTCAATAACTAGCCCAATAACGATTAGAGTGGTAATGATTGAGAATCTTATTTATAGAGAATAAATTAATATCATTCACCTCTAATTAAGTAACAACAATTTTGCTCAACCTGAATATTATACAAAATATTTCCAATGTTATTGGAAATTTTTAGCTGCAATTACAGTTTTCGAGACGTCTGGTGTGAAATAAACGTAGTTCCTGATAGTTCGCAGGATTAACTGAAATGAGAGTTGCCAGAACTACAGTTTTTTCCAATCTTAAATGGTACTTCGAAAAAAAAGAGGATCTTTTCAGTTTTTGGAATGAGTACCGATGATAAAGGGTTAGACTTTATGGATAATTCGTCAATTTTTAGATAAACGCCAAGATTATTTGCTCTAAAGACAATTACGTGACATGACTTGCCGATTAATAGATTTATAGTTCAACTCCTATCCAGTTTAAGGATTTTCACCATATCAAAAACGTAAACTCACTTTCATAGTCGAAATGCTTCAAAACCAATTTTCTCTTTTCATCACATCATTTTCTACTGATTCTCCTAACGTCAACAATAATGTTGTGATTTTGTTAGACCACCTTGATAGGTTTGGACTTTATACATACATTCCGTCAATTAATGGAGATAATTGTCCTGATTAAGGAAGTATTTAACAAAAAATATATCAAATGGACGGTTGAATCAGGAACTAATGCAAGTGAAGAAACATAATTCAAAATGGAACAGATTTTATGATTGTTTATGATTGTAAACTCAGTCTCCTAATTAGGTATTTGATAAATATCAAGCATATGATTCTGAACCTTAATATTAACAGAGTAGCAGGAATACACATAAAATACGTTAAATTGTATTTTGTTCCTGACACTTTCAGTTAAGTAAGATTGTAAATATGTCTACTGAAAATTGACGAAGTAACAAATTCATGATATATTCAAACTGTAACTCAGGATTCTGCTGATTTTTATTTTCCCGATCCAAAGTCTTTAAAAACCTCTCGAAGTTTCTTGTGGAGTTGGAAAGTTATGATTTGTTGGGTTGGCTGTTTTTTCTGATCTCCTTCGATAGTCTCGAAATAATAACTCTATTAAGGGATAGCTCGCTTTTTTTCTAAACATGGTAAGTTTTACCAAGAGACGAGATCTACTTTTCAGATCAGTCATTTAAAACATTTAAGTTGGTCAATGTAGGTATTTTCAACTCTCGAAGCATTCCCAAAGATTTAAAATTGACCACTCTATTAATATTTTTTGACCTGATCTGTATGCTGTTTAACTCGAAGCCATCCTAAGAGCATCTTATATCGTTATCGAATATGTACTTACTTTTGTCATATTCAAATTATTTCGATTGCTCAATTAATAAAAACAATTTCGATTTGGTGAAAACTCAACGGACCACACTGTATATTCTGTGGAGAATATCTAGTCGAGGCAGGAATTGAACCCACGGTCTTCCGATCGTGAGTCGGGCGCACTACCACCGCGGCCAACTCCACGGATAATGTTTTCGAATGTTGATATAAAATGGTGTGACTTACTGTGGTCTAAATAAAGATCCGGCAATGGCCCAGCCACAACAACGGAAAGTAAGCCGATAAAGGGTAATAAGCGCTTTATGTTGATCCATTGCCATCAATTTTCAGTGATGACCCCAAAAAAAATCGACCATTACGTTTTGCTGAGGGATTTTTGAGTCAGCTGAAGACTGTCATTGGACATATTTCAGATTTTTTGAATTCACCAGGAAACTATTTAGTTTCATTACGTTTGTTGGGAATACAGGTGAGTGGACTGGAATCAACATACGGAAAGGATGTCTGTTCACAACTATATCCTCAATGCCTGGACTATAAGCGATGTTACCGATCCGTACCACAACTCGAGGCGGGAATTACCAGCGTAGTCTGTGTGTCTACTTGCTCCTCAGATAACCGCAAACTACTATTTAGATACAACCATTCGAAGTCATCTCGGATTTCATACAAAGTGTTGTTGGTTGGTGGTAGCGTTTTGATTTGAATTGGCGCGTTCGGTATCAACAAATTGAAAAATGACTTGAATGACCATTTGGTGCGTTTATCGAAAAAAAGTCGATTGTGAATGTGTGCTGGCATGTGCTAAAAGTTCGAACCAGTTATCAGGAAAGGACCTCGATAAAGCGCAAAATGCCTTGGCTAGTGATTGTAGTAGCGGTGTGTATTGGAAGTGAGTATTTTTCGAATTTTGTTTTGAATATGGTTGATGTATGCGGAAATTAAAGGAGTTTTAGCCTCCATTGTCTAAAATTGAAAGTTTGGCAGAATAATCCCTTTTCAGATCGAGAATATCAGTGGTTGTTTCGTTAATTTAATTTCATCATTAACTCCTACTTTTTTCACCGGTTTTTGTAGCCACTGTAAATAATAACTAATTAAACTATGTATTAGAGGTCCGTATTAGAAAAGATGAAGTTGATGATGAAATCTAATGAACAAAACGTCGTGTTGTAAAATGGTTCGTATCAGATTATATCGCCCTGATTTTTTTGTATCATTTGAAATAGAGGCAATACAGCAAACACACAAAATTCCACAATTAAGTTTTAGACTGTTTCTCGAAAATAGAAAACTTTTGCTCAATTCAGTCGACGTTGTAGATCTTATTGTTTCCGGTAACCATTTCAAACATGGTCAGGCGCTGTTTTTTATAAATCTGCTTTCTTGAAAGATTTCATCTCATCTCAGTAGGAGTAAATTTGTTTAGACAATAAAACATCCAAATTTCTTATAGCACACAAAATGGATACTTGCCAATTTGCACATTTTATTTCTTTTGGCTTCACTGAACATTTGACAGTTTTGCTTTTTATGAATCCAAAATGATTATTTTTCGGTGAACTAGAATGTTTTCTTGGATCTTGATCTTGTTATAATCACATCCAACATAAATACCAAAAAAACCTAAAATTAAAATAATGTTTTACTAGGATCAACATACAGGGCGTTCCAACAAAAACTTGACCAAGTTACTTCACGACGTTTCGATTGTTAGTATCCACAATCGTCTTCGGGTGATGATTGGGCTAATTCCTTGGAGAAATGAATATTTATGGGTCATTTGAGTACTTTCACTTACCTCTGCTTTCCTTTTTTCGCTTCACCGGTTTAGCGGGAGATGACCGTTTGGCGGAAGTTGGCCATTTTTCCCTTGATTATGGGTTTCTATATGTTGCGAACCTGTACGCTAGCTTGGCTAAATACATTGTTGGATAACATGTATGCGGCTTCTTTGAATTTTCTCCTAAACTAATGTTTCTCCATGTATATGATCCCAGCTTGGGACCACCCGATCTTATGTTGGGTCCAAAAGGCATTGTGTCACTACTTTTAAATATTATACAATCACGGATAATATTTTAACTATTAAAGAAATATTTATTGTACAGTGTTTGTACACAGGAATGTTGTTTTGATATCATTTTCTGACTTCAATATTCAACATTCTATTAAATTCCATAAGGACTCGATTTAAATATAAGAATATCATTTGGTATGTATATTTCAAAAACCACAAACTATGACCTATGTTGTGTAATATCCTGTTGCGTCAATTTTTCTGAATCATAACAGTTTTCCCCATTCAATCATAATGGTAATTTGGTAACCTAAATAATCTTAAAGAGTACAATTTTAAGATCTTTAAAGTGGACCTCAACGTCCTTGTTTCCTTTGAATGTTCATTGTCAAAAAATGTGTCGTTAAAAATAATTACAAATAATGTTTCTAATGAAAGTTCGATAAACCTGATGAATAATTACAAAAAAATTATTATTTCCCGAAATGAAGATAGGCAGCAATAGGTACATTGATTCCTCATACCTTTCAGAAATGAATACCATAACGACATATATAATTCACAGTTTTGAACCACCTTGAAAAAAATTCAAATATAATTTTTTTCACACTACTTTTAACTACATGGGTAGGTATTATGTGTATACCAATTCATTCATTTTGATCACATGTTGCCGTGAATAATATAGATTATTTCTAATAATGACAATGAACATAAATATGTTCATGCAAACCAAACATTTTCTTGAACGAAATTCTCATCTGAGACCGATATAAAATTGATAATTCCCAGTTACCATTGATGCAAGCAATAATGAACTTGCAATTTTTCTAGGTAAATGCAAAGCGTAATATGGCTTGTACAAGTAATACTCAGCACATTAATGTATCATAATTCTACTAACTTATCTTTGAAATGTTTGAAATATGAATATTTGTTTTGAGATATCAACCGTAAAAATGAAGGGAATGCATATAAATTATGAAATCGGAGTAAAATTTCTAGAATTTTTTTTATCAAGAGTTAATTCATAAAATAAACATTCAATTTTGAAATTATTCCTGACATTTGAAATTTTACCAGATTAATTATTGTGGAGGACTGTATAGGTAAATCTTATAACAAAATATTCATTTTTGCCTCACATTATAGTGAAATCAACATGACTTTTCGATTCATAGCATCTAAGAGAATCGTGTTACTATTATTATTTTCAACCAACTGACATTCACTAGCAAACCTCAGGCGCAAGGAGACCTGTGAGAGTTAAGGGAACGAAGGAGTTTCAACATTTTACGTGCGATCCCAATCAGGAAAAGATTCTTGTTGACATTTATTACCTCTTTCTGATATTTTTTGTATGATGATCGAATGAAATTCCACGGCTAATAGAGAATTTCAAAAAAAGGTAACAAGATGCTAACAGCAGTCAATATATTGGCAGAGCAGTGGTCGTGGATTTTTTATTTTGTGGAACAACCTTTTTTTTGGATGGGGCGCCACTTGATTTGATTTTGCTAAAATCAAGAATAAAAATATGCATACGTCAGAAAATTATTTATTAGTTACTGCAGACTAAAACTCCAAAAATATGGTAGACAAAAAGGCGGTTATTGTTTTCTTTAAAAAAGTATGTGATCCGGTAACACAACAAATGAAATAATACGACGCCGCTGCAGCTGCAGTAGGATCTTACAAAAGAACATTATAAAGTAAATTCATACGACTTTCATTACGTTTATACAAAATAATTATTGAAACGTTGGAAATAATTTTTGAGACGTTAGATGCATGTAGGTACATATAATTCAAAAAGGAAACGACAGGTATATAGTTGGTCACCAAAAATCGGTTGTCTGTGTAGTGGAAATCAACTCCGATGTAAAAAATTGGAAATTCCTCACCAAATGAGTCCCTTCTTTCCTGGATGTTATCAGCAACAGTCTGAGGAGTCGAGTAGATGCTGGATGTAGTCTGGAGGCTTAGAAAACGAAACAGTTCCGCTGTCAGGCGATACTATAAATATCCTGGATTCGAAAGATATATGTCGAAGCAATTCAACTTTTCTTTTTTTTCAAAACTGGTCGGCAGCAAAAGACGATATTTGGGGATCCGAAAGGTTCCAAACCAGAACAAAACGTTCGGGATGGTTGGACGACCCACGCTCCTTGGAAGATACCAAAGGCTGTACTTGTCCGTACCTTAATGGAAACCGGCAGATCTACAAAAAGTGATCTCGGTTGTGATATTGGTTCCAGAAATAAAATGGTTAAAAAACTCACCTAATCTAAGGGAAAGGCTACCACTAAAATAATGCGCAACACAAACGTAACACGTTGACGAAATTTTGTGTATTCCAATGGCAATACTTCTACTTTGTATGAAGTATTCATTGAGCATTCCTTCTTTTTGGGAATTTTATTTCATTAATAATAATTCGTTTCTTTTTCTCTTCCCCAGACTACATCAACTATGCAATGAAATACAGAGTTATCAAGAAAATAAAATAGCTGATGTTTACTAGATTGGAACTCTGAAATTGTATACATGTATTTTATGATTTCCACAATTAAATGATTCATTTCGTAACAAGTGTTTTGTATTGTTGATAAAAGTCAACTTTTCACGTTACACATTGAACCATATAAATATAGTTTAAAAACTAAAAAACACGGTTTTAAAGAACATCGAACTGAAAAGTTAAAAATAATTTTTTTGAATGAGCTTAAAACAATAACGAACGAAAAATAACTAGTGTTACTTATTGTGAAAAAAGCGACGGGCTCTTGATATACAAAAAATATGGCAAAAAGCGCCCACGCATTTTTCACAATAATATTAGTATTTTTCGTTCGTTATTGTTTTAAGCTTATTTTAAATAAGCAAAAACACATTGAATTTCTGTTTTTCTTTAAAAGCGTGTTTTTTAGTTTTGTAAACTATTTTTATTTTTCATTTTTGAGTTTCGTATGCTATAAAAGCGTGTTTTTTAGTCTTTTTAAACTATATTTATTTTCTTGTGATACACTGCTTGGAACCTTTGGTGTAGTAATGAATATTACTGGAGTTTTTTCCCAACACAGCAGTTCAATCTTCCAGTAATATTTATATTTATTTTATCTAAACTTTGGGATCAATCAGCTGTATATTGTTTAGAAAAATGACCATTGATATCTTCTGGTTCCGGAGAGGGAGCCTGAAAATCATCTACCATGCCAGCGCCATCTGCCCGCGAATAGATCAAGCAATAGTGTCGATAATTCTGTCAAATACGGATCCCGAGCTTGACAGTTACAAACAAACATACATACATACATACAGATGAAGCTAATAAAAGCGTGTTAATAATAACGTATGGGCAAAATGTTTGTTCAAATTTTTTAGACAGTGTGTAAACAGAGATAGAACTCCTCTTAGCTGATATATCCCATGTTTTCAAGTCTATACTTGAAGAGGTAGGTATTATTTTTAGAAGAGGTTTGTTTTTGTAAGAAAAACATTTGGCTCTCTAGTCCTTGATCAATATACAAAAATAACGAAACACTTTTTCCCCAAAGGCTATACTATGTTTATCTTCATATACCAATTGCTAAATTAAAAGTAACAAAGTCAATCGATTGAAATTTTTCAACTGTTGAAAACGTGAACGAAAATAGTAACAGTGCGGATCAGTCGGAACGATCCAGAAAACGTACAGACCAATCCGTAGTGACCATTCGCATGGACGAAACTTTTGTTACTTAAGTTTCCGTTCGACTACGTTCTACTAGCCCAGATTTTGTTCTCTTCAATCGTGACTCCGGCCGTGAAGGCTTATATTCTTGAACAATTTTTAATTCACCCATCGATAATCACAAGGCTTACAGATGGAC